TACTTTTTTTTTCTCTTTTTTTTACCTTTCGGTATGTTCTGGGCACTTCGGCCCAGTACACATCCGGGGTAGCCGTGCATTAACCAAGCCGGAAAACGGGTCTGGCGTTTCTCACATAAAAGCAGAGTTTAAAATGTGATCCAGACAGATGACGCAATCCACTACATATGTATGATACACTCACAACAGCTAAAGTAAGAAACCACCACCAGGATAGAGGGATATAAAAAAAAACAAAGATAGAAAAGGCCAGATCCCGAAAAACAACCAGCCTAGAGTCATCTCCAATCCGAACACACGTAATGTACAACGTGCACACACAGGCAACAAGCAGCAAAAGCACAGTTCCTAAAGACAGCAACCTAAAGTCAGTCAGCTCTAAAGCCGGCTCACGAAAACAGCTCTGCGGTTATGTTCAGAAGGACGAACTAGGGTCCCCGAGCCGAAACCTAAAAGGCACCCCAAACAACAGCACAACAGCAAAGCCCAGCACGTGGAGGAGCGCCTAAGAGGTTTGGCCGAAAAGCCTTCAATATGCTGAACCTTCAGCATCCAATCTGTCAGAATAGCTTGTTTGATCCCATACTTGACTTCAGTTCTCACCATGAGTGAAGTAAGTCATTCAGCACGCCTAACAGCTGAGTTACGAAGAATCCACAGTGTCCACAATATCGCCCCCCTAAGTATTTCCTCAGCGGAGTCAGTGTGACACAAAGGGGATGAAGGCTGGATTCCAAAAGCCGCGGAGCCGAGCAGAATGAAATCATCCGTCCAATGCTCAGCTCGAAAGGGGATGGGGGCAGCAGTTCTCCACCATAATTGCCAAAATTGTCGCGACAGGTCGCAATGCAAAAAGAAATGCTGCAGGTCCTCAACTCTGGTCCCCGGACAAATCACACAGACCGGGAAGCTCTAGAAGTTCTTCGGGCGCACCAAGCAGCAACTGGCAAGGCTTGATGCGCGATCAACCACAAAAGACCCGCTTGTTTCACTTCCGGTAGATCCATCAACAACTTCCAATCTCCGGGCAGAGCTTGAGCCAACCGAAGCACAGAATCATGAATCCATCCCGATCACAGCCAACGCTTTGCCAGTACAAGCCAAGAGACGTCGCAGGATGGGCGGGACACCAAGTAGCCGAGCTTAGCTGAAAATCGGAAGAGCGGCACGAGCTCCCAACGCCGGAGCGGGTGGAAGCACTCCCAGTCCCGAGGATCAACGGGCAGCTGATAAGAAGGGACCGCCAAAGCGAATGGGAAAGGCCGGCCAGGCCGTTCAGGATATTCCAAAACACACACAGGCACAAGATCCTCGATCGGCGGCACAGGGAGGGAAACAGACATTGGGCACAACGGTGTCCCCACAAAACAAGGCGCATGCGGAGCTTCCCACCAAGAAACAGTCGGGTGAAGGGGATCAACAACCGATTCCACTTTCCAAAGACACAATGGGTTTCGATCCGCTGCCAGTTTGTACCAAGCTCCAACTACAAATACAATACCAGCTCTCAGAACATCCACCCAATTTTGCGGAACAGCTCGTTGAAGCATTGTAAGGTGGGTGTGCTGATGCCACAGGCCCGTCACCGTGGCTGCAGGATTTGGGACGATTTCCAATCGGCAAGCTCGACATCCAAAATATCAGCAACGGTACCAACGTCACGAGACATCCACGAATTACCAAAGGCTCCTATGCCAAAACATGGGAAAGGGTTCCCGCCCAGCATAAGAATACAAGGATTCTCAAACAACGGTTGGGTAAGAATCCGATCAGCAATCAACAGCGGGGGTTTCAGGGACGGACAACAACGAGCCCACGCCTTGAGAATCCCGCCCCATATCCCATCGGGCATTTTTTTATGCAAATACGGCCTCATCAGAACAGCCAGCCAAAGGCATCGCAAGTCCTCCCAGTCCAACCAAGCACAAAGGGCAAAGTCCGCAAGGTGTTTCCAGGGAGAGAAGGAGAGAACGGATCCTCCAGGATAGCCCAAACAACCCAACGAGCAAGCAAAGCCCCAATTTGGAATTCAGGATCCAAAATAGACATACTGCCACTACGTTTAGGTTGAATAAGAACATGCCACGAAAGGGGCCGAAAAATAACTTCATGTCAATGACATCCACAAAACCGTCCCATACTGAGAGTCCTTTAAATTTATTTATTAACCTTTGAGAAGCGGACGCAAAATGATCACCCCCGTATCGTCGTCTAAGTTGACCAATTTAATGTAATTTAATTTTAATTTAAACGTCTGTCTGTTGATGACGGAAGCACTACGGGACTACCACGACCCACCAAACTGGCAAAACATAAGAAAAGGACACTTCAAATCCTCTTGTAATGCTTGCCGGCGTCAACCATTAGCAGGAGACGGTCACCATCCCTGTTTTCTTTTTCCACTATAAATTAATTCTGAATTACCTGGCCCAGTGGGGCCCAGAATTATTTTATTGTGTTCATCTGACCCCCAGGTAATTCAGAATTCTTTTATCGGAATTTATCCCCTCAATAGTGAGAGGTAGCTATGTTTGCAGGCGTCCCCTTTACAGGCTTAGAAAAAGTGGTAGCTAGGTTACCGTAGTGAAAGGTGAAATTGAGAGAAGAACATAGCTTAGTCTTAAAAACAGAAAAGGAAAAGAAAAACATTGAAAATAGGTTCACCGCAAAGATCCGGCGGCGGCGATCAGAGGTCATCTGATTGCATCGAACTTTGGCCCATATTTCCACAGTTCATCGGGTGTACCCGCTCAGCTAGGCCCGTTGGTACGGTACCTCCTCTTACTTGCGCTGCTCTCTCTCCCTACAGTTGACCCTTTGCCAAGGCACTTACGAGAAGCAGAGATCCCCTTACGTACTTGGAAGCGTGCCTCCATGAGCTGAAGAGATGCTTCCCACCTTCCTTCCAGACTAAGAGGCCTCGCCACACGACTCCCGAAATAGGTTTGTTCATGAGTGCGGCATTGCCACATATGCTCACGGAGTCAGCTTCCCAAAATAGATGGAGAGGTGTCAGAGGAGCGAGCCCGAGAGTACTCCCGAGTCCCCCGTTTCCTTTCTGTGCCCGCCTGGAAATTGCCATTATGGAGAGACCTTGGGCCGACCACCGAGTTCGGAGTTGAAAATGCCGGCAAGGGAGGACAAGAGGGGTTTCGGCCAGACTCCCTAGCATCTTCACTCGAATAGAACGCCCGGTTATTATAGCTGTATCTGGACTGACAAGTGCACTAAACACGGCTATAATGACCAGACCGGGGCCTTCTATTCAGGTGAAGACCGTAGTGGAGAATGCATGGTACGGCCTCTGAAAAGAGAGAAGACAGAGGACTGGAGGAAAAGTAGCTACAGGCAGATAGAAGAAAACAGCTCAGGAAAACATTTCCTAAATGGCAGCTCTAGAATGGCTGAAGAGGCTGACGTGGCGGTCCAACCCCTTGGTGCCCCCCGAGGGGTCCATACCGACCAACGATTGGGTTTGAAGGGCAGGACAGGAGAGGCAGCCCTCGTTTGCCATCTTCTCTCATAATGTATGTTCAGTCAATCCCCTGGAACTCAGGGTAATCAATGCTGGCAGGTCCGTTCTCGTACTACTCAGACAAATCTCAGAAACTGCCGTAAATGGGACGCTGGACCCATCCTCCAGCAAGTGACACTCCCCAGTTCACTGAGTCCCCAGCAATAGATAGGGTGTTGTTTAAAAAAAAAAAAAAAAAAAAAAAAAAAAGAAGTCTTCCTTGGGCTGCCGATGGTTATTGCTCTTACCAACACCGCCTAGCACTTGCAAGAGATGTTACACAAAAAAAAAAGAAAAAAAAAGAGGGTTTTTGCCAGACTGCACTCCTCAGGAAGTGGCTTCAGATTCTGTCAATTTGGGAATTCAGGAGTGCCCGGTTCGAGAGCCCGATGTGGCGAACGGCACTCTCGTGCGGGATTCCACGGGTTCTAAGACTTGGGAGTACTCCTGAACATTTCCTCCGAGTCGGGAGTGGTTTGGCGAGGCCCTAACAAATAGACAGCAATCAATATCTTTGAGAGGCCAAGGCGCCAGTTTTCATGAACAGCTGGACTTGGGGGAGAGGCTCCTCAGGCTGAAGAGAGAGGCTCTCAGGCTCACCCTTGCAAGGAGGTTTCTCCCTCCAGCTCCTTGAAAATAGTTGTACCTCTCCACAGGCAGTACAGGGGATTAGAAGGGAAGTCAGAACAGACACCAGAAGGTCCTCCACTACGTGACCCCAGTCACACTTGCTACACAACTACCACACACACTAGCCTACAGTCTGTTTCTAGCTAATATAGAGTGTGACCCATGGGACCTGAGGTCACTGTCACTCCCATCACACTGTCACACAGGCTTAGCCTAGTAACTTAGGCTACAACAGCAGATCTATCTGTCAAATCTCACTCTTAGGCTACAACAGCAGATCTACCTGCCAAATCTCATTCTTAGGCTACAACAGCAGATCTACCTGCCAAATCTCATTCTTGAAAGGTGGCCCTACAGATTGCACTCCAGGCTTCAAGGATGTGCATGAGGTTGGAGAGGGTATAGGGTTTAAGGGGTTCAAATGGGACAGATACTACAGGGGGGCTGCTGAACAGGGCTGGGCTAATAGATAAGGGGTGTTCTAAGAGGGAATGGGTGTCAGTAGCAGCTCCACGGGACAACGGAGGCCCGGTCTGAGAAGAGAAAATCCCACAGCCCCATGAAAACAATGAATTGCAATCTCTGTGTTACAAGATGTGTCATGATCAATGGGACGCTGGACCCGGTTTCCAGCAAGTGCCGCTCCCCACCAATAGATGGAGCAGCCCGACAGAGAAACCCTCAATCCTGATGGTTGTCTTATCACCCCCGGGATAGAGGGCTTACACAAGGGCTATTCTTGCAAAAAAAAAAAAAAAAAGGAAGTTTCCCCCTCCAGCTCCAAGGAGACACCCGCTGTAGAACTTGCCTGACTGTGGGCATACTCACACTCCCACTTTTTAACTTGTTTCTGGACGGAATTCTGGCCAGATGCATATACCTCCAGGCCTAAATGGGGTCAGGTGCATTTAAGATTATTGTAGTGTGAGTGCACCCTGTGTTGTGCTGACTATTAGCCGGGTGCGTTCCATATTCGCCGCGGACGAGCAGAGGGAGCGCCAGCGCTTGGCATCGGTGATTGCCCCATCACGCCATTCGTCTGCACGAATTGGTTGGGTTGGGCCGTGACAGACGGCCAGAGGGCGACCTGTTGGGCATTGGGAGGGCCGACCCCCGGCATCTGTGATTGCCCCATCACGGGATTTGTCTGGATGAATTGTAACGCTCCCGGCTGGGCGCCGACCTGTCGAACTTCATGAGGAGAGGGGACGGCGACCTGTTGAACTGCATGAGGAGAGGCGGTGCCGACCTGTTGAACTGCAGGTGGAGAGGGGGTAACGCCCCACGCCATCGGTGAGTGCCCCCTCACGCCTTGTGTCTGCATAAATTGAGACGTACCCTGTGGGGCGCCGAAAGGGACAGACGGCTGGGCGGCGACCACTTGGGCTGGGGGGGTGAACATCGGCAGCGGGACAGACGACTGGGCGGCGACCACTTGCGCTGGGGGGGTGAACATGGGCGGGAATTGCGCACCTGTGTGGACCATCATACCAGGTCTCTGCATCACTTGCCCACCCGTCTGGGCGCGGACCATCATGCCAGGCATCTGCATCACTTGCCCACCCGTCTGGGGGACGACCGGTCGAGGGTCCATGTATTGAGGAGCGGGCGAGGAGAGCGGCATGCCGACCGGTCCTTGCGCCCCACCAGTTGGAAAACAAGCAGCGGCCGCAGAGGCCCCGTTCGTCGGGGCCGTTGCGGTCACCACCCCATCGCCTGTTGCAGGCTTCTCCCCTGCCCCGTCCCCTCTTCCGCCCCCGCCTCCGGCCCCGCCTCCGCCTGCTACACCGCTGCCACTTCTCGGCTGTGGTCCCACCCACACCCCGTCCCTCACGTTTACTGCCATGGTTCGGTACTCCTGCGTCAGTGCCGCTGCGGGATACCACGAGTGTGCCCCGACATCAGAACATGCATTACCCTTAGGTTGGAATTTCTCCCGCAATTTCGTTCGGGAAAGCCCGCCAAGCAGTCCATCGGCCATCCTCAGCGCCCAGATCAGGATGCCCAAAAGTATCCACCCGACAGTATTCTTCTTCTTCACAGAGACAATGATAGATACCATCGCCAAGATTGTGAAAACGAGCCAGGAGACCAGATAAAGTCCTGCTTTCTCCTTGAACTTACCCAATCCCGCCATCTCCATCGTCTTGCCGAAGATCGAGCAAGGGCAGAAGAAGGACCGAATGTAAATGTGTCCTCCTTCCACCAGCTGGCCATCCTCAGCGCTATGGAAATCCAGGCAGCACTCATTCGTTTCCCCTACCCAGTTGCGGAACATCGGGGTCTGGACCATGTGGGGAGGAACGGAGGCCGCAAACCACCCCCCACTGGCCCCAGGACGTTCGCCCGACCCCAACCCCGACCCCGACCCCGACCCCGGCCAAAGGGATGGAAACTGTGGGGGATATTGGGATGGTGGAGCACTTGCTCCGTGCGTTGGCCCTCCAGACCCAGAGGGCCCATCAGGTCCGTTGCCAGGACGGGGTGGTCCCCACCCACTGCCTCCAGGACGTTCGCCCGACCCAAATCCCGGGTCTGGCCCCGGCCAAAGGGATGGAAACTGCGGTGGGGGATATTGGGATGGTGGAGCACTTGCTCCGTGCGTTGGCCCTCCAGACCCAGAGGGCCCATCAGGTCCGTTGTTGGGATGGGACGCTCGGGTACCATCGGGGAACTGATTGGGAGGATTGCCAATCCATCCGTCGGGTGGGTGATGACCTCCGCGCCCAGAGTCTGGGTAATTTGCATTATTAGCTACAGTCTTCGCTTGACTGACCGACCCATCTCCCCCTCTCCCTCCTCCCCCGTAAGGCACCCCTTCGGCTCCTCGTCCGTCATTAGCGCCCACTATTTGGCCCAGGGGAGGAGTCTCATAGAGTGCATCTGCATCTGGTCGCGAATGATCGAAACTGCTAGAAGGCCCTGGAGGGGGCTGATAACCCCCCTCCCCTGAGCTGTGGGGAGGTGACGACCCCTTTCTTCGTCCGGAGGAGGAGGAGGAAGGGGATGATTTACCCCCCCCGCCTGCGATGAGGCCTGGTAATTACTAGAAATCCCCCCTTCATACGATTTAGGTACCCTCTGATTAGACTGAGATTCCTCTGACGTGGCACGAGGTCCGTTCCCCCTCAGCTCCTTCGCTGAATATACGTAAACCCCTGAGGGTCTGACACGTGGAGTGCTAGATCGGGCAGGGTCATCGCCGACAACGGCAGGCTTCGGCGGGTTGATCGGAGGGTCGGACGGCTTCGCCGCCATCATCCCGATCGAGGCCGGCGCGCTGCTGACCGCAACCTGAGGCCTAGTCCCCGCAGAAGCATCGTCGGCATTCTCTTTGCCTTGACCTTCTTCTCGCCGGCGAGCCTCCCCTTCGTCATCACGGTTCCGCCGGTCCGATCTGATCGGCTGGTCCCCTCTTGGGGGAAGACTGGCACTGATCGTATCCATGGAATGACTACGGGAAAAAAAAAAAAAAAAATCTCCTCGCTTCTGCTTTAGGAACGACACAACACCGAAATTTCGTCGATCGCTCACTCAATCTGCTGCTGCTGACGTGGAGTTCCACTGTAGGCTTTTTTCTACCGTAAGGCTACACGGAAAAGAACTGTAGATCTTCACTACCTCTCCACTACCTCTCCACTACACCCCACGCAATCGACCTACAGAATGAACGCAATCCGTGCTGGTCGTCTTTCTCTATCTTTCTTGTTAAGAACTAATCAAGTGAAGCATAATAATGTGGGAGTCATACCTGAACGTCTCTCTCCTATTCCTCTCTCTCTGATCTTCACTCGCTCGTACCAAGATGTCCCACAATCCTGTTCCTTCTACCGGTCCTCTCCATACCCACCTCCTCTCTGGGTGACAGATCAACAACCGACACTGCGTCAAACCACCACCGTTTGATCACCGTTAGATTGCCGTTTGATCCGCGTTCGATTGCCACCATTCCATCATACAGCCGTTTAATCGCCGTTTGATCCGCGTTCTGTTTCCACCATTGGACCACACAGCTGTTAGGTCACCGTTTGATCACCAGCGGTTTGATCAGCATTTGATCACCCGCAGTTTGGTCACCGTTTGATCACCAGCGGTTCGATCACCGGTTGATCACCAGCGGTCTGATCACCGTGTCACCACCGTTTGATCACCGTTCGATCACTGATTGATCACCGTTTGATCACCGTTTGATCACCGTTTGATCACCGTTCGATGACTGATTGATCACCGTTTGGTCACCAGCGGTTACTGTATGATCACCGTTTGACCACCAGCGGCTTGACCACCGTTTGATCACCAGCGGTTCGATCACCGTTTGATCACCAGCGATTCGATCACCGTTTGATCACCAGCGATTCGATCACCGTTTGATCACCGTTTGATCACCGTTTGATCGCCGTTTGATCACCGTTTGATCACCGTTTGATCGCCGTTTGATCACCGTTTGATCGCCGTTTGATCGCCGTTTGATCGCCGGTGTAGGGCTCCCAATAAAGTTGAATAATCACGGTTTTAAATCACGGTTTGATCACCAGCGGTTCGATCACCGTTTGATCACCAGCGATTCGATCACCGTTTGATCGCCGTTTGATCGCCGTTTCATCGCCGTTTCATCGCCGTTTGATCACCGGTGTAGGGCTCCCAATTCAAAGTTGAATAATAGGGCCATCCGCTGCCGTGATGGACAAGAGGTCGGAACGAGAAAAGACCAGATACATACATCTAACATGTGGACGCCGGACCTCTAATCCCCTGGGGAAGGGGGCAAATAAATCATAGAAAGGAGAGAGGGGTCTTCCGTGGTCTTGTGTGGTAACCTTGGTCTGTGGTTGTCGTGATGTTTCAACGCCTCTTCGTCCAACTGTAGAGACATCACGACCATTCTTCCTGATGATAAACAAACAGCCAAAAAAAAACAAAAAAAAAACAACCCCCCCCCGGCCCCCCCTTCGCCCTTAAAAAAAAAAAGAAGAATCCTTTGATTACCTTTCTCTCTCCTAAGCCTCCTCTACCCTACCTCTCTCTCTATCTTCTCATCGCACTACATACGCGATACTTTCTGTTGAAACTGCCCTGCTGCATCCAAAACGCCGCTTCCCTGCTTCTGCAAAAACGCGAACACAAACACACACATACACAGACGAAAAAAAAAAACGCGAACAAACACATTATCAACGAACACCCCATATTATGCTTCTATGAGTACAGTGAGGCTAGCCACACACCTTATTTCTTGAAGTACCTTATAGTACATTACATTACATTTTCTATTACAGTATATATATAGCAAGAGCAGCATGCGACACACAACTCAAGTGCAAAAAGTAGTATGCGTCGGACATCCTCTCCTCCTCCCACCCTCAAAAACGATGGCCCGTTCGAGCAGATGGAGCTAGGACGACGACGACGACATTGTGTCCGCAATAACTGATGTGTCACTGCCCTGTCCCTCGCGTGGTCTAGAGAGAGAGAGAGAGACGCAGAGAGAGAGAGAGAGAGAGAGTTTTCCATTTGGTGTGGGTGAGTGACAGTCTGCTTTGATTTTGGTCACAGATACCTTGAGGGCAGTGGTTGGTGGTCCCCACCACCTCGGAGGGGTATCAGTTGTCGGGCAGTCGTTGATGCTTAACCGCAGCCGGGATTAAGGTGGATTAGCACTGGCAGTGTAATCAGTTAGGGGATTCTGCAGACTGTATAGGACGGTTCAGACTCCTGATGAGTAAGTCGGTGAAACTCCGACGAAACATTTTGTCACAGCTCCTCGTTTTCTGTCCTCTTCTCCCTCCCTCTCTGCCTACGTTTTACCAGGCAGCTCTGTTTGACTATCTATCTATATATATTGTCACATGATATCAGAGCGCCTAAGCGAAAAAAAAAAAAAAAAAAAAAAAAAAAAAAAATCTTAAATTCGTTTTTAATCTTCTTCCTTACCAACTCCCCCTGTTCAGAACCTCTTGCGTACAAGGCCGCCCACGTGGATGTAAGTTGAGCGGCGGCTGCCCCCACCCCCGTGTGTCATATCGACCCACTTGCACACAGCCAAAAGGCAAAGAGGCAAAGAAGAGAGGAAGGGAACAGCCAAATGAAACAAATAGAACAGAGGGAAACAAGACAGATCCCAGATGACAAGTCCCACATGCAAGCA